ATTATTAAAAATTGTTAATTGACTTGATAATTTATTAAAAAAATGTGTCCTTTGTTATGTGATTAGAAACTTAAAGGGGCAAGATAGAATTTTCAGAACCATGAGAGGCAATCCATTTTTTAAGCAAATTTCATGAGATGTATTTATAATTTATCTTACTTTTATTTTATAAATCTCACATACACACACACACACATACATATATATATATATATATATATAAAAGAAAAAATTATGTTGAATTTTGTAATATGTATTATATTTTTTGGTACATTATACACTTACTTCCCTTGAAGTTTAATAAAATTACACAAACGTTCCCTGAAGTTTCTGAAAAGACTTAAACATCTCTTGAGGTTTAGTTTTCAAATATACTGATCTTTCCTAAGCTTTAATGAAATGTAAAAACCTTCCCTAAGATTTATGAAATGACAGACCTCCCTTGGAGTTTAATAAAATTGCAGAAACCTTCCATAAGATTTCCAAACCAGCAGAAACCACCCTTGAGGTTTAGTTTTTTTTATTATAGATTATTTGTTCTGTTACTTTATTGTAAACTAAGTAACAGAATATGCTTACATCATTAAATAATTTGATTATATTTTTAATTTATCATTTAGTACTGTGTCCGATTACAAATAAATATATATATATATATATATATATATATATATTATTCTCATTGTGATTTTGGATAAAAGAGGCATACATAATCAACACATAACAAAGAAAAAATGGGAATTGTATTTGTCTGTTTGTTTATTTTATTTGGTAATTTGACACAATTTTAAAGGGTAAAACTATAAATGTAATTAAAATTGTTAAGTAAATTACAAATATACTTTTTAAAATTTGTTTGAAATACAGATTGTCTCCTATGGTTTTGAAAATTATAAATACACCTTTTAAGAATTTTGTATTTAATAGAATTAACATAAAAAATAAATTTTTTAACTACTCTCAATCCAACACTTGGTCCGTAAAGTCGGCAGCCAAACTCGTTGCTCAATCCCCACACAGCAACCACAACAACTTCAGCCCGACGTCTGCAAACCACCGCCGTTATGTTAACGGTTGTTGATTTCCTGCAAACGTTGCCGACGCAAAATTTCACGCCGAAGGCCACAGATCACGACCACAAACCGTAGTAACCTTCAAACCCACAGGAAATTTTGTTCATTTCATAATTAAAATCGGCAGCTGAAGAGTTGCTCACGTTAACTAAAATGTCAAAATATGATACTACCAACGTGGGTACCATAACTAAACGTTGGTCATATATGAAATGTGGGTTACCCACAAAACACCACCAATCCCAAAAACCCTATAGCACGTTTTTTCAAAATGTGTCACTTACCCAAATAATGGAAACAAATTAGCCCAAACCTAATACCTAGCCCATAAGGGGCAACAACGTAAACCAACAGATAATGGGACCATTGTGTGTACAAAAAAAAAAAAAAACTTTCCTGTAATAGATTAAATTCAGATTAAATTCACTCCAAAACTTTCCTGTTACATCACTCCAAATCAGATTAAATTCACCATATGTCTCATGTCCTATCCATTCCAAACAAACATATTATTTAATCTTAGTACAAAACACAAATCAAAGAGATTAAA